CTATTAATATCTAATAATAAAAATAATGAAATTCAATAACATGCTTTAACCACCAGGTGTCCCTTTCTATCAGCTGTGCACGTTTATGTTGTAAATACAGCCTATCTACCAATTGGATAAAATATAAAAGTCAGCCGAATTAGTGTTGATACTGAAAGGAGATGTATTGTGTGAAAATAAATGTAAGATGTTGTTTAATTACTGATATATTTATGATCAACGTCACGTTTTCAGTGTTGGCGGCAGTTCCTCATGTTTGTCTAGAAGTCTTCTCATCAAGGCTCTATATAATATATCAGCAATTAAACAACATCTTACATTTCTTTTCACATTTATTCTCTCTTGGATTGGCCCATTTAGTTACGGGTACGTGCTTTCGTAAGCACGTACCCGGAATAATCAAATGGATGATGACGTTTCACCAATGAGGCGTTTTTGGGAGTTTTACTCACTACAGGGTGTACTTTGAGGGTTTTGACTCTGCAGACCGTTTACATGCATAAAAACCTTCGTAATATCCGGAAAAGCATGACATGTGTCCTTTAAGTGTCGCTATCCGGGTCACACCCCCACACACAATACACAAACAGAGCGGATCATAGCCGAGACATAAATGCAGATTTTTAGGGATCCCACGGACAATATTGTAATATCTTTAACAACCAACACCTTAAATGGGTAAAGAAAGATGGTCGCCTAGAAATGTAAGGCACGACCTGCCTCAGCACCCTTAAAAGTCGGCACAAGAGTAGACAGACATCCAGAGCCGGACCGAAGCGGTAAAATGTGTTCAGCAGACATTAAACAATCATTTAAAACAAGAAGTACCACGTCGCGAACATGCCCCAAGCTCATCCATCGGCTATGACTCTAGCTAAATGTGCATAGCTAACTTTGGGCAAGGTTCATCGTTTTAAATATTGTAAAGCAAGCGACTGCCGGACTTACGCCCTACAAATACTCACACTATAAAAACATGCTATATGCACACAAGTCAATACATATAAACTCACCTAATGATGTTCATGGCTTTATCCTAGCTAACACCAGTGAATGACAATGTTTACAAATTGACAGCTGTATTACCGTTGCTCGCTGTAACGGGCAAATGTGAACTCAGCTTTTTTGCAAACAATGCAAGTGATAACCTCTAATTATGACAAACATTTGATGATATTTATTAACTTTTAATAACTTTTACCTTGTAGAGATCTCCCCGGAACAGAACCAGCTTGCTCCTCCGATGCAGGGAAAAAGACGGTGGACCCCCCCGCCCTTTGTTTAAAAAAAAAAAGCTTAAAAATGTTCAAATAAAGATTTTTTGCAATTTGTTCTGCTTTTCATATTGTCCATGAAAGTGCCATATTGTTCAATTACGAAATAATTAAAGTACGGTTTTGAATCCGACCATTTTGATTTGTGAATACAATATTTGTCAATAATAATTAGAAGCTGAATAATCGGCAGCAGAACAAGCTGCTGACGTATGTCCTCAGTGGGCGGAGTTACAGAGATAAACATCACTTTTTTCTTATTTACTGAGACTTATAGAAAGTACATCCCTCAAGATTAAAATAGTTCTACATGATTGATTGATGTTTAGATGAGAAACATGAATACATTCTGTCTCATATATCAACTGCATATTTGTAAATTGAACGACCCCACTTTTCCCTGTTTTTCAGTGTAGCGTCTGGCGGTGCCACTCCCGTATGGGGACAGAAACGATATAATCAAGATAAACTATGGACTCACACAATATCTCATGTTGCATGTCTTCCCATCTTACTGACTGTGGTTAAAATAAAATAAAATTGTAAAAGAAACAGCCACTTATTACATTAAAAATTGCTTTGATGATTCATATATTTTCCGAACAGTAATTGATTAGTTGAGTAATTGTTGAATCTCTAATCCCAAATGTGACGTTAAGTTGTTTGTTTGTGTGCGTCTCTACAGGCTACAGATAGTAAATCACGGCACTGTGAAATTGGAATTCTCCTGGCAAGTCATCATGGATCAGAATAACAACATTTTAAACCATGAACAAAGAGGTACTATTCATACTTTTTGTTATTGTATATTCTGAAGTATACATTATATATGACCGCAAAAACTGTGTTTGCTGTACCATTATCTTCAAAGATTGAATTGAACATACTTAATAACATTTCAATGCATGCCAGAATGAAGTTTGGGACTGTGTGCTGTAAATGTGAACATTAGTCGGTGTGTTCTATAACAGATGGGACCCCGAGCCCCCGACCAGGCAGCAGGTCAGCCATGTTAAGTGAAGCCCGTCCCTCCAGTGCTCTGGCCAGCGTCATGTCTCTCCTGACGGGGAATCCTGAGCTTCCTCCCGTCAGCGTCGAGCCCGGCATCGGGGCCATAGAGCCCGGGGAGATACAGAGTTTCAGCATCCGCTTCTCACCTCTGGAGGTGGCCCAGTTTCAGGGCAGGATTATCTGCAGGTACAGTAAATACTTCTAAATGTAGTGACAACAAAAATACACGTTGTATCTCCTAACTGGGAAGAAGGGAAGTTATTTTATACTTTTATTTATTTCGTAATCATAGTGCAGGTGAGGACAAGGACAATAAAGCACAAGCAGTGAAAATACAAAATTATAAAAAAGCACAGGTACAGTTCACAATCCTTATAAAAGAGGTCTGACAGAAAATAGTACTTTATTAAGACATTTATAACAACCCCACATTCTCAATATCAAAGAAGAGCAATGGAGGGAAAGTTCCTGTTGAGTCAGCATTTAGTTTTTTACTTGCGGCCATAGTAACCCTTGAAAAGGTACGTATCAGTTTTATTGAGTACTTTAGGGATATTTACCAGGTACAAAAATATAAAAGACACGTCAGGTGTAGAATATCTGAGATGAAATGGCCTGCTCCTTTCCAAAAAGAAATGAATATTCTATGTCAGAGCTGCAAACTGAACTATACAACACTTAAAAGGTATGAGGGGATTTGGATAGTTTCACAAGAATGATTACCGTAATCTGACTTGTTGGTCTTTTATGTCTGCTCTTCTCTTTCAGTATCCCAAACCTACAGGATGGAGATGAGGCTCCCTGTATCCCGGTGTGTGCCCGCAGCCTGTTGCCTCACTGCCACTTTGACCTGGAGGACTCAGACTATATCAGCGAGAAACGACAGAACCCTGAATTCAGGGGACCTCTGGACCCCAACATCAGGGTCATCGAGTTCAACTCTGTTGGTTTCTCTGTGCCATCGAAGAGGTGAGAGAAAGAGAGATGAAAGCATCAATGTAGGCCTAAAGGGGCTCTATTATGATTGATCAGGTTTTACCTTTCCGCTATTGTGTTATATAGGTTTTTGTTCATGGAAATGGTCTGCAAAGGCTAATATCCCAAAGTTCCCTCCAGAGAGAGTTTCTCTCCCACA